TGTAATCTTGCTTTTAATTTTATTTTATATAAAAAGTTTTATAATTTATCTCTAATTTTTATAAATGATTTTTAATTTGTCTCATAGCCTTCATCTTAAGGATACACTATAACTTATTTTATTAGTCTCTCATTGCTATAATTTAGTTGATTACTAAATACTGACCATTAAAATTATAATACACCTTGATGTATTAATACCAATTAGGTCAATTGGTATGATAGTAAAAATAATATGGTAATATTTTAGTTAAATTTTATTTATTTGATCATATTTTAATAATTTTGTGAGTCCTTTACTTTGGATAATATCTGTTTTTCCCTTGCTTGCAAGTATCATTTTCCTTTACTCATTTATGGGTCTTTTTAAAAATACATATATATATTTGTTTATACCTTATATTGAAAATATTTTTCTAATTTATTTTTTACATTTTAGCTAGTTTATAGTTTCTATTTTCAGACATGTTAAGTTTATGTGCTGTGGAATATGTTGGCTTGTATTTATATTTCCACCTTTGTTTTTATGCTTAAGATAATTTCTCAGTCTGTAATTGTATTAATTGTGTCCTTCTACTTCACACAACTTGTCTTTTACATGGAATGATTTAGTATAGCTAGACTCGAATAATCATCTTAGCATTGTTTATTTAAAAATCTACTGCCTTTGACTATTTTAATTGCCCTAGTTTTCATGGCTAATATGATATACTTATTGGTGTCCTCATTTTGTTTCATCTATCAGTTCTTGATTCAATTTCACAGGCCTCTTTATTTATAATATTGGAATAATTTTAACCATGCCTCTTATAATCTTCAAAAGGTCATTCTTTTTTAATACATTTTTCCCTTCCTGTGACATCTCATTAACATCTTAATTTTAGAATTATATTGCACATGTAAATTAACTCGAATAAAAATTATTTCATATTAAATCTTCCATTCTGGATTGTGGTATATCTTAGTGCTTATTTGAATCCATTCTATTTATGTATAAAGTTTCTTTGGTTTCATAGCTTTTTTTTTCATTTTTAAAAAAATGTTTATTGTATATATTTTTGTCTTTGTTTTTTTTCCTTTCTTCCTCCTTTTCTTCCTCTTATTCTTTCTTCTGGTCTCCTTTCTCCTTACATTCTGCTTCCTCTTCTTTTTTTGAAAGAACTAGTTGACTTTAAATTATAGAACCTTGTTCAAACTAGGTTAAACAAAAACAGGAGTTTATTATCTTCCATAACTTAAAGAGTTTTGCATCAAATACCACTGAATACAAGTACTCAGAAAATAATAGCTTCAGGATGTATTTACTTCTAGCTTGAGCTCTCAAAAGAATAAAGACACTTTTTTACTTCAATGCCTCTCTCAAAAGGTTCCTAAGTGGGTCTGCTTAGATTTCACACACTCCTGTGGATCCAATCCTAGGTCTAGGCTGTTTGAATATTCAGAGATCTCTGAGATGGAGAGAGAATACACCTTTGCAAATTAGCTTAAAAAAATCATTTAGGATGGGGAGAAGTTTCCAAAAATGTAAGGCAGGAGAGCTGAAAAACAAATTATACAGATAGTAATATTAATTAATATTTTTTGTGGTTCTGAATATTTTTAAAATTATATTTTATATTGACTACTGTTGCTGTGAGCCAAGTTATTGATTTTTATATATTAACACTAAAGTTTCTCACTGGATTACTTTTTCAGTTGCCATCTTCATATTTTTGGTAGAACATCATGTCATATGCAATAATAAAGAATAATATCTGCATTCTTTTGATTATATCATATTTCTTTTTCTTATTGCTAACTTAAAAATATTTAAAATGCATAGTATATAGTATTTACTTTTATATTTTTATTATTTTAATAGATATATGCTATTATTATTTCCTCATTAATAGGATAATGACTCTTAGCATGAAATTCATAGAATTTTCTCATTTTAATAAATAATATCTGTTTTAGCTTATGTAAAATACTTTGTAAAATTTATTTGTTCTAATTAGTTATGCATGACAGCAGAATGGATTTCAGTTCATAGTATACAAGTGGAGCACAACTTTTCATTTCTCTGGTTGTACAAAATGTAGAGTCAAACCATTTATGTCATCATACATGTATGTAGGGTAATGATGTCTATCTCATTCACCATCTTTCCTATCCCTATGCCTTCTCCCTTTCCCTTCTTTGCCTTTGCCCTATCTAAATTTCCTGGATTCCTCCCATGCTTCCCCCAACCCCCATTAAGGATCAGCGTCTACTTATTAGAGAGAACATTTGTCCTTTGCTTTTTTGGGATGGGCGTAATTCACTTAGCATGATATTCTCCAATTCCATCCATTTACCTGTAAATGCCATGGTTTTATTCTCTTTTAATGCTGAGTAATATTCCATTGTGTATATAAATCACTGTTTATTTAACCATTCAACTGTTGAAGGGCATCTAGGTTGGTTCCACAATTTAGTTATTGTGATTGTGCTGCTATAAGCATTGATGTGGCTGCATCACTGTAGTATGCTGATTTTAAGTCCTTTGGGTATAAACTAACAAGCATCATTGTTGATCCATTAAAATGTTTTTTTTTTAATTTTGTCTAATGCTGTGTATTTTTGTCAATATGTTATTTAGGCATTTTGCTTTTAAGGGGTTGCATGGCTTAGAATGATTTTTAATTCATGTATCTGTGTATGTGTGTGTGTGTGTGTGTGTGTGTGTGCACGCATGCATGCGCTTTGTGCATGTGTGTCTTTGTCTTATTTTCATGTTTGATATTAAGGTTATTGAAATTTTTAAAGTGATATTAAAAGTTTTTTTTTCTATTTGCTGCAAAATATTGGGTACTTACGATGACATTTTTATAAAATTAAGGTTATTGAGGTATAATTTAAATGCAATAAAATATATACTTTATTTATATTTTGATGAGCTTTGAATATATATGTGTACAGTTTTATAAGTCTTAGTAAAAACATATTAAGATTTAAACATTTATTTTACCCTAAAAGTTAGCTTTTTGCAATTAATTCCCTTTTCTTTGATTCCTTATAAACTGGACATATTTTCTGACATTCTAGATTAAAGGTCCTTTTCTAGAATTTCATATAAATGAAATCTTCTTTTCTATAGTTTTTATAGCTATAGTTTTGCCTAAAATATATTTTTTGTGATTCATCAAAGTTGTTCATGAATAAATACTTTATTCCTTTATATTGCTGGTGGCCTTACATTATATAGATAATCACGCTTTGTTTATTCATGTACTTCTTGATTAGCATATGGGTTCTTTCCAATTTAGAGTTTATATGAAAAAATAGTACTGAGTGGTACATGTCTGTGATCCCAGCAACTCAGAAGGCTGTGGTGCGTGAATTGCATGTTCAAAGCCAGCCTCAGCAACTTAGCCTCAACAACTTATTTTGAGTCCTGTCTCCAAATTAAAAATAAAAAGGGCTGGGGATGTTGCTCAGTAGTTGAACATTCCTGAGTTCCATCCCCAGTACCGAAAAAGAAAAGAAAAAGTGCTACTATGAAGATGTACATGTTGTGGTGAGGACATGTTTTCAGTTCTCAAGGGTTAATACCTAGATGTGAGCTTTTTGTAGGTTTTTTTTTTATTTTAAGTTACATATTTAGCATTATAAAAAATTATCAACCTTTTTTCCCAAAGTATTGTATTATTTTGTCCTTTTTCTTCAGTAATGTAGAACAGTTTCAGCTTGCTTTTGCCAGTTTTTTAAAATTCTAGTGGGTGAGTAGTGGTGTATTATTTTGTTTTTGATTAGCATTTTTTGAATGACTAAGGACGTTGAGCATCATTTCCTGAGATTCTTGGCCATTATTACAATCTTCTGTTAAGTGTCTTCAGTTCTTTTGCCTATTAAAAAATTGATGTGTCTTATTATTTTATGTATATTCTACACACACTCACACACACAAATCGTTTGAGCCCAAGTATTTGTCAGATATACATATTGCAGGTCTGCATGTTTGTATCCTTGACACTGTTCTTTGAGGAGCAAATCTGTTTCATTGTGAGAAGGTCCAATATATCACTTGTTTCTTTTTTGTTTCATTCTTACAGTTTCTTGTATGAGAAATCCTGGCTTCACTCAAGATTGTTACTGTTTTCTCTCAATTCATACACATATCCTGCTTCCTGCCATTAAATGAGACTGAATCAAAGCAAGTCGAGCTGAAAACATGAGAGGGAGAAAGGGCGTGTCTAAGTTCTCTTTTACTTTATATGTGGTTTACAGCATGGCAACTAATGTGTGACTTTCTGGGGTTTCTAGAGGATGGACATGCCTTTCATTAATGTCCCTCTACTCTATCTAGTTGAGACATTAGTGTCTTCTTTCCCTGCATGACCTCTGGAGTTGTTCAGCTTGTAGCTCCTTGTGCTTTATTCTATGCATGCATAGGTTTGCATACAGCAACAGACACAAAGAAACTGCCCTATAGATTTCAAAGCTCTTCTTCTTCATGGCTTCTTCCTCTCTAGCATTCTGCTCTTCAAACTTCAATGGCCAAACTCCAGCTTTCTCCTATGTTAGCAGGATCGCCATGCTCTAACTGGATTCACCGTTCCTATACTGCAGTCAAGAAAGGACCTCCTAGCAGAAAGATATGAGATTATAGGATTCAAATAATTTGTTTCTCTTCTTTCAGGGAACACATTCCTATGATTGTTGTTGTCCAATTTTAAACTTATTTGTTCCAATTCTTATCCAGTATTCTGTTTTTAGAGAAATATCTGCAATGGATATCCATTATGATAGGAATTGGATTCTGTTAAGCATTTACTTATCTATTTATTTTTGTTCTTAATTGAGGTAAAACACATAAAAATTTACATTTTAGCCATTTCAAGTGTATAATTCTGTGGCATTAAGTATAAAAATATTGTCATGTAACCATCATCACTAACCATCTCCAGAACTTTTTCTCCTTCCCAAACTGAAACAATGTTCCTTTGAAACATTAACTCTCCTTTACCTCTTTCTGTTCAGCCTCTGGAAACCACCATTCTACTTTCTCTCTGAAATCAACTATTTTGGTCATTGAAACTAAGTTGATCATGTAAGTGGAACCATAGAATATTTGATCTATTTTTGATTGTTGTATTTTCACTTTATCATATCTAGTCAAGGTTTTCCCATATTGTAACATGTATAAAATTTTCTTCCTTTTTAAGGTTGAATAACATTCCATTGTATATTAGAGATTTTGCTAATCCATTAATTTATTGATGGATATGTAGGTTGTTTCCACTCTTTAGCTATTCTAAATAATATTGCCATGAACATGGGCATTGAAGTCTATCTTCAAGCCTCAGCCTTCAATTATTTGGTTATTTAGCTAGGAATGGAATTACTAGATTTGTTTTTCTTCTTTCAAGGAACACATTGTGGTAATTCTATTTAAATTTTTTTTTGAGAAGACATCATATTGTTTCCACAGCAGTGGTACCATTTTGCATTCTCATCATCAATGCAAAAGAATTCCATTTTTCCATATCTTTATCAATAGTTGTATTTTTTATGTTTTTTAAAAACAGTAGAGGTTCTAAAGAGTTGGAAGTGATATTCAATTATGATTTTAATTTAATTTTCTTAAATTTAGTATTTTTAAAATCAGTTTATTGACCATTTACTTTTCCTTATTGATATGTCTATTCTAGTCCTCTGCCTGTTTATTTTTTTTTTAATTTGAGTGTTTGATTTTTATTTGTTACATTGTGGTATTAATCTGAAAATTATCTGTTTTTTTTTATGAATATATTTCCCCATTCTGTGGGTTGTCTTTTCATTTTGTTGATTCTGTCCTTTAATGCACAAAAGCTTTTAATTTTGATAAAGATAAACTTATCTATTTTTGCTTTCATTGCTAGTGCTTTTTAAAATCTTTTTGGTAGTCTTTGAGAAATCAGGAAATCAGTGCTAAATCCAATTTAATAAAGTTTTCTATTTCTGTTTTCTTTGGAGGTTTTATTGTTTAAGCTTTATAGTGTTTTTCCTAATCTTTTAACAATTTTTAATTTATAAAGTTATTTTGTCTGGTATTAGTGTAGCATTTCTACTCTCTTTTGAATTGAATATTTTTTTTCATCTTTTGACAAAATGAGTCTGTTATAGATAGAATATAGTTGGAGGCTAGATTTTTTGTTTTGTTTGTTTATTTGTTTCCCATTCTGCCAATGTAGATCTTTAGATTAGGGGTTTCAATACATCTACATTCATCTGCAGGGATCTACTCTTTTGTCATTAGTTTTCTACATGTCTTCAAGTCTTTTTTTGTTCCTCATTTCCTACATCAGTGCCTTTTGTTGTGTTTAGTTGGCTTTCATACTGACATGCTTTTAGTCTCATTCCCTTTCTTATAAATCCTATAGATAGTTTCTATGAGGTTACGATGGAGACCACAAATAACATACTAAAATTATACCAATCCAACTTAAACTGATACTAACTTAAATTCAATCCCATAAAAATACTACCTCTCTAAAGTTCCCCTCCACCCTACTTAATGTTACTGATGACAAAACTTTTGTCTTTATACATTGTCTACCCTTGAACATGCACTTACAGTTATTTCTATGCATTTGTCTTTTAAATCCTTTTTTGTTCTTCATTTCCTACATTATTACCTTTTGTTATGTTTAGTTGATTTTCATACTGACATGCTTTTACAGAAAAGTAAAGTTATAAACCAAAATTATGATAGTATTGTTTTCTGTATTTGTCATGTGTTTTGTCTTTACTGGAGAACTTTATATTTTCATGACTTCAAATTACTATCTAGTGGACTTTTATTTCAATTTGAAAGATGCATTAGCATTTCTTATAGGGCAAGTGTAGTAATTTAAAGGAGCTTCCAGCTTGTTTGGGAATATTTCAATTTATACCTAATTGTTAAGGTTAATTTTATGAGGATTCTGATATATTTTTGATGCCTAGAATTTTATTCTTCTTTCTACTCTAAAGATCTAGAATTAAATCAATTTAATGCTCTTTAAGTCTAACAATACACTATGTTAACTCTTTTGTATTATTTGGTATCTCTTGTTTTCACTCTCTTTCCTACAATATTATAATCAGGCAAAAATAAAGCCAAAACAAAATAAAAGCTAACATCCTTAGTGGCACTTGATATAAATCCATTATTCTTACCTGTGGACTCAGTGGAACATAATAAGGAACAATTATTATTCTTGCTTTTGGTTGTGATCACCAGCATGTCTGACTGTTGAGTGGCCATCATCTGGACTGACTAGTGCCTAGCACAACTGAGGAAATAAGCTTTTCCACACCTGTCTCATCTTCTAGCTGGACAGACCAGGGTTGTTTTCATGTGATGGCAGAGGTGTGGAAGTGTAAGTCGCCTGGTACAAGTCCATTTCAAGCCTCTGCTTCCTTCAAGTCTCTTAAGGTACTATTTGTCAAAGAAAGTCCTATTTTTGTTTCTTCATTGTGGGTTTGGGGCAAATCACCTCCCTTAAATGAGAGAATACCTCAAAGTGACACAGTAAATGGCCCGGACTTGGGAAAGGGTGATGAATTGGAACCATCATTGTGCTCTAACAAAGCTGCCTATACCCCTTTTGTGAGGAATATACTTATCTGTCCATTTATAGTCTTATTTATTTTTAAAATATTTTTAGTTGTAGATGGACACAATATCTTTATTTTGTTTATTTAATTTTTTTATGTGGTGCTGGGGAACAAACCTAGCGCCTCATGCATGCTACGCCATGCATGCTAGGCAAGCACTCTTACCACTAAGCCACGACCCTAGCCCTGTGTTCTTATTCTAAATGTGTTATTCTTATTTATTTATTTATTTATTTATACAAAAGCTGAAATTGATTGCTTTTTAATAGACCAACTTTACAGTTACATGTCTATTTACATATCATATTTTTTTCTCTAGTGTTACTTTATCGTTGTCTTATGCTTTCTAGTTTCATTACTTCAATTTTCAAATTTTCTTTTCTTTTGTATATATATACTGTTATACGAGTAAATATTTAATTTATATTCTAAATATTTTTATATTTAGAAATTTATGTTTTACATAGCATAGCAGTTGACATTTGGGTTTTCAATATTTTTTTAAAACCCTGTTTTTCTATTTCTACAGTTAAAAATTTTGAAATTTTACAAATTCCTCTATTAAGGACTTTTTGCACCAAGCCCACTTCCTCTATACTCCTTTTAATATATTCTTCTATCTTATTAGTTTAATTTGGACATACAGAAATAACTTTTGGTATTGCTTTTCTGTTTTATCCAATTTTGTAACATTCAACCTAAATCAGTGTTCACCTTATTTGCACATTCACTTTCAATCTTTTTTATACTATGAAATTCTGTCCATCTTATCTCCAATAAATCCAACATTTTTAAGTAACAACGATGATTCAGAAAGTGTGCTGCATTATTCTTAGTAGAGTCCTCTAGAAAGACCTAGACTTCTTAGGCCCCAAACTTTCCACTTATAACTTTTGTCTGTCTGATGTATTCATTTAAAGGAAAACATGAAGTCATCATTACTTCATTCCTCTGTTTGTAACCTATATTTTCTGCCTTACTATTTTTAGGATATTTCTCTCTTTCATGGAACTCCAAACGAATTTCTAGGAAACCTCTTGGTGAGTCTGATTAACTGACTTTCTCTGCATTGTAGTGAACCTTCTCAGTTTGCAACTCCTGGTATGCAATTCCCTTAATTTTTGTAGTTTCTACCTACCCCCTCCCCAATGCCCCAGCCCATGGAACAACAACATTTTAAGATTTGAATCATCTTTCTTTCTCTTGTATGTATGTTTCCCTTCATAATTTTAATTTTTCTTTTTTTTATTTCTTGCTATAAGAGAGTTCCATGTTTGTTATAACATTTATAATATGAATTTTAATTCTGCAATTGCTTCTTTTTACTTTCATAAACTAGAATATTTCATTATTCTGTTCTCCATGTGATGCTGTGTTTTTTTTTTCTTTTTTAACCTCAGTTAATCCTCTCTTAATGGCTTCCTGCTTTGTGTTTCTGAAATGAGATTTTTCTTCGCATTCCAATGGGGATGCTATCTCTATAGAAATTACTTCTGCAATTATTTGTACATCTGGTAATAAATAATATATTTCTCTGCTGGTGGTTTTGGATGATAATTTCTTTCCTTTAATTTTTTTTCACAGTAATCCTACTGAATAATTCCCCATTATTCATTCTAGGGCCATGTAACAGCTACCTAGAGTTGGAGTGGGTCAGCAGTTTGGATTCATTGATTGCATTTGGCCCTTGTCCAAGTTCTGCTGATAAGATAAGGTGGAGGTACAGAATTTCTTACACAACTTGAACAGTGTAGCAAGCATTCATAGGCACTATGATTCAATCTATTCCTTCTCTTACTTCCTCATTCTCTAGTACTTAAAACATATGAAGAATCAAAGTTTTAACTTTTCCAAGGATACCTTAGTATTTTTGCCTGGGAATTGAATGTATAACTTGCTTCTCCTTCAATGTCTTTCTCCTTTTACTGTATCTCAGTGATTATGACAATACTGTAAATATATATTCACAATTAAGATTATTATAAAATATATATATCCAGTAATAAAATAATATTTGTTAGTTCATTTCTTTTTGTTTTTTTTTCCTGATAGATTCTTAGAAGTAGATTTGCTGAGATAAAATATACTAACCCATTTGTGAATATTTCATATATGTTGACAAATTCTCTTCCGAATATTATAGAGTTAATGTTCAAGAAGGAATATAAGCACACATTCTCATTAAAAGTTCATTTGGAAAAAAACTTTTGGGATTATGTTGTTATTATGAAAAGAGTTACAATTCTGAAAATCTATGAAAGAGAAAATAAAAAGCGGCTGTTGTTTTATTATGTGGCAATGAGCATTTTTAATCTTTCTTAGTTATTTTATTTTCTGCCTTGGTTTCTTCTGGGAATTATAAAGGGAGAGAGAAAGAAAGAGAAAGAGAGAGGGAGAGAGAGAGGGAGAGAACACATATAGTTTCATACTGACATTTAAAGTGATTTATAATTTTGTGCCAAGAATAAGTGTGTGGTGCACACATATGGAGATACACACATAAATATAAATTTTTCAAAGACTGTGTAATTTTATATGTTCTCACTGTTTGTGTTTATCAGTCATTTGGTATTTACCCTTATCAATGGTATAGGAAGATTTTCCTATTTTTATTTGATAGGAAAATGTTATCTTGTTTTTATTCATATTCATTAGAGAACTGGTCAAGTAATATGTCTTTTTACCTAAAGCTTATTATTCGTATATAAGTACTATTCTATAAAGCTATTGTTAAAGTTCATAATTCAAAATCAATTTATCTGTCTTACTGGTGGTGGGCTCATCACTTCTTTATTAGCAATATTCATGACTGTAGTCACAAACATTGCTATAATTTCCTATTTTATACAGATAAACAACTCATGATTTTTAACCAATCATATTTATTTATATTTTTTATTGTAACTTTTTAATTATTTCTAGTTTAGAAATTATACTTTTTTGCCTAATCAGTGCATTACTTTGAACAGTGCAGTTGATTAGTGAATTATATTTGATTGCTAATAAAATTTTGAAATCCCCTAACCCTCATATTCAATTCTGTTCTTTATAACAGCATCAAAAATCCAATAATATCTAAGTTCTCAGCTTAATTGACTTTTTTAATTTTAATTTCAGAGAATAAAAGACCATGCATTGAATTCTCTCATCTAAGTGTAAAGGATTCCTTAAAAGATTTGTTTATTCCCAGATTAAAGATAGTTCTGATGATGTATACAAGGAACAACCTGAACTGTGCTGAGCCACTTTTAGGGCTCAATAACTCACTCAATGTTAATTTCAACACACAAAAGAAAACAGTCTGGCTGATTCATGGATACAGACCAATGGGCTCCACCCCATCATGGCTTTCAAATTTTGTAAGGAGTTTATTGCATAAAGAAGATATTAATGTAATTGTAGTAGACTGGAACCATGGTGCTACCACTTTTATTTACAACAGAGCAGTTAAAAACACCAGAAAAGTTGCTGAGGCTTTGACTGAGTACATTCAATACCTTTTGGTAAGTCTGGAAATTTTATCATTAATCTTGCTATACAATATATAATGTGTTATGTAATACTACTTGTGATAATAAAAGTAATACTTTTTTTCATAAGCATTTAGAATTATAGCTTTGAAATTCTAATTTGTGCAGTCTTATTATTTTGCATCAAAATATAATTGTATATCTAGATTTTACCTTATTTTAAAATAATTCTCATAAACACTTGTTATGATTAATTTAAAACATTGTAAGACTTTTTGACTCTAACTAAATTAACTTCAGAATAAAGTAGTGATCCTATGTGGGCAGAGGGGATAAAGTATATAATCTTTTCATTCTTTAGATATTCTCCCTAAAATATGTCTTAACATGTTTACATTAATCAAATATGAATTTGGTAAAAGACAGGAGAAAACAGTCTGAAAAGTAGATTAATTTTATCTATGTCAAAGGAAATTCCATTCAGGTTTGCTCAAAGTGGGGGTCAGGTAAATTTAGGCCAGTTCTGGGTCATCTATAGTTTGAATGATTTTTCTTAACCATGTCAACCTTTATGGAGACTCATGTTTATCCTGAGAGGTGGTGGTTATGGGTAATTGAAAGACAGAAGGGTTAATTTGGTCTGTGGTTCATTCTTGGGCTTGAAATTGCACATGTTGTGCTGAACTTCCAAGTCTTTGCTGAAATTAAACAAGCATAGCAAATCCAAGAAGCAGCTACATCTAGTGGCTAGAAGTCAGACTCAACGGTTCAAAGTCCAAATCCTTCACTAACCATCACAATTCATTAGCCTCTCTATGTGCATTTCCTTATTTTTTCATTTAAGATAAAATTTTATAATAATGTTTATAGAAATATTAAAGAATACATAGATATATAAAAAATGTTAATGTGTATGTATGTGTTTAACCAATGAATAATATTTAGTAATCATTGAATACAATCAACTTTTATTATTATTTTTATGTTTCCTAATTTGGAGAAAACAATACCATCTCTGTGAAAGGCAGAGGAGATAATTGCCTTACTCATTGCTATCAGTAGGTTATAAAAGTGCACAATCAATTTTTTTTTGGTTATAGATTTTACATAATAGAAATGAACCTCAAAGTATGGAAAGGGTGAGAGATAAGTAGAGAAATTTGGGAAAATTTGAAGCATAGATAAATTTCTAGCAATACTTCAAAGTTCAGTAACTGTTTTAAAAATAACATAAATCGTTCAGTAGCACTACACTTTGGAGAAATATTTTCTTCAAGTTTTGGGGCATTGCTCTGAAGTATTTGGAGACCTTTATTGCTTGGTGCTGGGAAAACCTGTCTAGTTTTCCCTTAGTGGCAATTTACATCTTTCTGTAAGCCTTCAGGCATGTCACCATATAGACTAGACATGATCTGCTCACAAGTCTTCTACAATTTCCTTATGAATATGGTGGAAGAAATACACCCTCATGTAAGCTCCTAACACCTCCATCCTCCCACCTCTACCCATTGACTAATAGGTTTTCAAACCCTGACCTTGGCAGATTAAATTCCATCACTATCCAGCTTGTGATAGGGGAAGCCACTTAAAATCCATAATCCTAATTTTATCATCTCTGAAGTAGAAATTATTATTACACTTTCACCAGTTTTTCTAGGATTTTTGATAGAATCTAACCAGAGAAAATGGAGAGACAGATTAGCATAAACTTTGGTGAGTCAGATTGATCTGGGGTATGTCTTAATTCATTTGAGCTGCTGTAACAAAAAGCAAGCTATACATAGTGACTTACCTTTAAATAAAAGTTTAATGATAATTAAATAAAAGTTTAACTTGTTTCAAAAATTAAAAAAGTTATCTTCTCTATCTCCCAGAAATGAATTAAGCCATGAGAAAAAATAAAAAGAACGAGTTTTAGAATATGGTTGTGTGAAACAAGATTTGTAAATACCCAAAATGAAAATTGTGACATTCTTATTTTCAATTGTAGACACATGGAGCATCTCTTGACAATTTTCACTTCATAGGCATGAGCTTAGGAGCTCATATTAGTGGTTTTGTTGGAAAGATATTTCATGGTGGACTTGGAAGAATAACAGGTAAAACTATTTTTAATAAATTATTATTTTAGCACATTTTTAAGTATCAGAAGTTATTTAAAATTTAGCAGGTACAAAAACGAAGCAATAGAAATTGTGTATGCACATTTATTTTTCTGTACTTGTCTTCAAATATTAGATATAAGTAAGATTCTAAAATATTTTTTAGTTCTGAATACAGCTCATGTGACTTGAGATAGAAATGAGAGGAAAAGATCTATCCCTGTATTTCTATCTAAATTATTGTTGTAAGAATACACAGGAAAATTCGGCATATTAAATTAAACTTTATTGTACTTCATGTATGCTGAGATAAGAATGATAAGAATATGGCGATGTACTTAATTTTCACAAAACTGTATTTCAGTTTTTAAAGTGTTTTACTTGAGTGCTAGAAGAATCAAGAGTCGGTATCCAAGTTTGAGGAGTTCTGATTCCCAATTTTTCACATATTCCCATGACAGAGTTACTGTATCCACAAAACTCAGTAACCAAATAATGCCAACATAGACTTTCTTCCTTCCTCTAGAAGTGGTGGTGATTTTAGAAGAAGTATAATATCCTTCCTTGAACAATTTATGTTATTTTTAAAACAGTTATTTATATGTATGTCCATAGAATATTGATAACATTTTGAAGTATTAATAAAAGACAATAAACTTTTAGTTGAATTTTAGAAAAGAGGAAAAGGAGACGTGAAAAAATCTGTATGTATGGATATATATTTCTACCTATTAGTCAAATTTAATGGCTACATATTGGGGCTATTTAAATAAAATAAGAATACTAGAAGGGCCCAAGATGAGCAATATATTTTTCAAATAAATTTTTAAGATGGTACTTTCTTCCACTGCATATATGCTTTCAAGGAAATTAATTTTATCTCCCCTGACTTTTGATACAATTCAGAAAGTCATGAGTCTAGAATTTTATATAAAATTTAAGCTACACTATAAGTAATATTTATATTACATAGAAATTTTAAATATTTTTTTTTCTTAAGAGAATATGAACACATACTATTTATTATCTTTTCCCCTCCAGGAGAAGTCATAGTTGTTATTAAACACAGAACTTCTAATTTGCTAACAATTGTTACCTAAACGAAAATTCTAGAAATGTTTCAAAATATTGTGTGTAGGTATCTTTAAGGTGGTTTAGTTTGACTGTCTTCAAATGTTGATATTAAATATTCAAATAATGAAGATCCATGCTATTTATCAAGTTTTACTTACCTTTAAATATGGTTTGGGGGCAGATTTCAACTTAAAGTGCTTAGTATGTTTCTAATGTAAAATTAATAATACAACGCTGCAATAAATGAGCATCAAGTAAGAGTTGATTAGATTAATCATTCCTTTCTTGAATTTCAGGTCTTGATCCTGCTGGACCAAAATTTACTGGAAAGCCATCAAATAGTAGATTAGATTACACTGATGCAAAATTTGTAGATGTCATCCATTCTGATGCCAAAGGTAAAGCAGTGGCTTAATGATTTAAAAATGAAAAATTAAATGTAGATCCTGGAGAAGAGGAGATAATAAGAGGAAGAAGGGATGTGGATAAGATGTTTCATGTTAATGATTTCCTGCATTGTCAAATGACACTGCTCGCCTCAGTTTGCCTCATTCAGGTTTCAAGAAGTATCACATCATCCTAAAAATGAAAATTTTGGGAAACATAATTTGTTCTATTCAAGCCATTAATAGTCATTGATTTGATCCTCTTCCCCCCTTTTTTAAACCTAAATTCCATCTTTTAAAAAATAACTTCAGAATCTAAGTATTAAATTAATTTGGAATAAAAAGGACTAAGTATTGCTAAGGCAGTCTTGAAGAAAAAAGGTACATATTTTTAACAGATGTCAAATTTTATTATAAACTCATAGAAATGAAGACAGTGTGGCACTAACATAAGGAAGACAAAAAATTCAATAAAATAAAATAAGTTTCTTGTAAAACTTCTGAGATTTATGACAGGTGGGGCACAGCTGGGCAAAATGAAATGAAAATGAAATTTCAATAAATATTTCTGTTTTAACCTGTTAATTGTTGAAGTTTGGAAAAAACCCTCTAACTCACATATAATTAAAATCCTGTCCACATTTTGCATATAGTATGAAAAAGGAAAAGCAAATAGCTCATAACCCAAGTGAGAAGACTTAAATATTTGTTTACATTAAGACTGATAACTTAATAAAAAAAACTTTCAGAAAGTAAAAAGCAAGGGGTTGTGGTTCTGGCTCAGTGGTACGACACTTGTCTAGCATGTATGAGGCACTGGGTTCAATCCTTAGCACCAAATACAAATAAATAAAATAAATGTCCATTGACAACTAAAATATATGGAAAAAAAAGAAAAGAAAGAGCAAACCAAAAATATGGGGAGAAAGAGCTTTAAAACAAGAGTGCATTAATAATAAGGACAAAAATAATCAAATTTTAAAAATCAAGGCTTGGGCTGGGTTTGTGGCTCAGTGGTAGAACACTTGCCTGGCATGTGTGAGGCACTGGGTTCAATCCTCAGCACCACATAAAAATAAATAAATAAATAAAGATATTGTGTTCATATACAACTAAAAAAATATTTTTAAAAAATCAAGGCTTGATCAGGCATTTTTATAAAGGAAAAATTCCAAATAAACAATAACCATATGGAGCATTTTTAAAGTTAGTAAAAAGAAAAATGCAAATTAAAACTTGAATGAAATACCACATGCTTATAAAGAGACCCAAAATTTAAAACCCTGGCAAGACCATTTGTTAAAGAGGTTAAAGAACAACAGAAATATTCAAATGTGGTTGATAGAGGCTCAAATTGGTGCTGCCAATTTGGAAACACTTTTGCATTATTTATTAAAACTGAAGATATTCATGGTCTATAAAACAGCAATTCCACTTCCAAGTGTACAGTCAACAGATTTGCTTTTGCATGTACATGAATATATGTTCAATACTATTCAGAGTATGAATGAATATTATCCCCAAAATAGAAACAACACAAATGTCTCCCAACTGGAGAGGACAAATTAAGCTGTGGAATGCTCATACACTGAAGGGCTACGTAGCAGTAAATAACCTTCACACCTGATCATGTGGAGTAACATCAAAAACAGACTGATCATTAGAAAAAACCAGACACAAAAGCATATGCATATGTTTTATGTATATGTAGTGTCTTGTATGTATTCATAGTGTATAAATATTTATATAAAAATAATTTCATTAAAGGAAAGGATGTTTGTTATCTTTAGAGGATACATAAAAGCTTGTGATTGGATAAAGGTCAAAGAGGTTTCTAGGTGCTGTTCCTTGACATGAGTAGGTACAAGGCTACTTGCCTCATAATAGTGTATTTGTAGCCCTTTATTTTATGTTACTTTCTTATGTTGTTATAATTTAAAATAAATAGAAAATGGAAAGGCCATATTTGTTCTCCCTATCATTCTTAAAATCAAGGGAATTAATAATCTAAGTTGACCAAGCCATCGTGTTCCCTGCATCTGATAAGAAAAATAACATGCCTGAATGAAGGACTGTTTCTAAGTTTATAATAAGTATCTTTTGCTTCCCCTTGATCCTGGAGCTTTCCTGTTTGGGTCAAACCCAGTGGCAGATTGGAGAAATAGCTGGTTCCAAAATTAGAACCCAATGTTGCACTTAGAGGTCAGGAAACTTCAGAGAACTCCAAATTGTTGGATTTCATATTTGCTTAAATGCCATAAGCTGAGCATAAGATGAGATGTAAAGAGGGACTGACTCTTCTTTCAGTCATACAACGCATAAACTGCCCTGGAATCTGGAGACGTTAATTGAAGTCATCTAAGTTGTCTTTTATATTTCCTTATATGCTAAACGTCCTCACTTCCCCACCATTATGTATATCACCAGTGCTCTCATATCCCTCTAATGCTTCCCTAGCTGTTACTGTGTTCTCTTAGTATTATATACTAGTTAAATTTCCTGGATCTTAATCTTTGGCATTTTATTTTTTTGTACCAGAGATTGAACCCAGCTTAACCACTGAGCATATTACCATAGATATAGATAGATATATTTTTTAATTTATAGAGAGGGTCTCATTAAGTTTCTTAGGACCTCACTAAATTGCTGAGGCTGAATCTTTGGCATCATAATAGTTAATGTCAGACTCAATTATTTTATTGTTATGCTAAACCTTTTGCTGATTTCTTCCAAGTGTTAACTGTGTTAATTTCTTGTGCCTTAAGGCAAAGCATTTCAATCTTACTTGGCAACAGGGTTTTTTTTTTTTTTTTAAAGAGAGAGAGAGAGAGAGAGAACTTTTTTAATATTTATTTTTTTTAGTTCTCGGCGGACACAACATCTTTGTTGGTATGTGGTGCTGAGGATCAACCCGGGCCGCACGCATGCCAGGCGAGCACGCTACCGCTTGAGCCACATCCCCAGCCCCGGCAACAGGGTTTTATAATTGTAGTCCTGAATTTTCTGAGCTTGCTACTCTTTTTTCATTCTAGTGGCTCCCTGGGTATTAGACTGCATATTGATAATGGACTCAGAATTTCAACCTTCACCAGTGCCCCAAAGATCTACAGATCTACAGAATCCTGGGACTCAGCTGTATGTTGCAAGCCACCCTGACCCAAGTCATACAAGCTGAGGCTGTGTGCTCTTTAGGTTTTGCCAGTTAGCATCAGCTGTTCCCAGGCATGAAAACCCCAAATGAGAATAAATCCTCACCCTGACCAGAAGGGTCATATATGGTGTGAATTCTTGTCTTCTGATGATCCTTCTTACATGTTATGCTCCAGCCACCTGGATTCCTTAAATACCCCAAGTCTACTCACACACATATCACCCATGGCTTACTGCTCACATCCTCCATATCTCTACTCACTTTCAGCCTCCTCAGTGGGAAGCACAAACTACTGAAAGTTCAGCTACCACCCTAGCTAGGTGTGCTCTGCGCCCTGTTCCACTTGCTCCATAGCACTTATCTTGAATATTATATTTTTATTTGCCTCATATTTTTCTTCCACTAGAAAGTATATTCCACTACAAGGATTTTTGCTCTATTTTTAAAAAACTTATTTATGCACTAATAGCATAAAGAACTGTGATTGGCCCATAGTAAACTGGTGACTGGTAAATATATTGAATCAATAAAATATAATCTCACAAAGAATTAATTTGAAAAACTAACATGATAGAAACTCATATCTGGAAAAAAATAGCTTTTATTTTATTTTCAATTTAAAAATTTAAAGAGTACTTTTCAATAGATTTTGTAAGCAATTTTGTTTTAAGTGATTGTTGCCTACCTGATTATATATACTTTGTGATTCTTGGGTACTTTTCTTCTTAGGTTTAGGTATCCAAGAGCCATTGGGACATATAGATTTTTATCCAAATGGAGGAAAAAAACAACCTGGATGTCCTAAGTCAATTTTTTCAGGTATATGAAATAGTATTTGCAAATGAACTACACATGATTGGAAATGGTAAAAGAAAATAATTTATTTTTCCTTTTTAATCTTTGAGCAATAGTTTGATTTAATCTTCTTTTCCCCAAGATTCAGGATAGTTATTGATCATAAATACTTTAATTTGACCCTGAGTCATTCATAAAGATTGCCAGTAGTCATATCATTTGTTTATGAATGAGTCCTATTATGTAATGGTTCCAGTGATTTTAGTTCATCATTTTAAATGTTAGGAAAATTTTTAAGTGATTGAGAAAGTACCATGTAGCTAAAGTATCATGTAATACACATTTGATCTCAAAATTCAACATTCACCATCACCATTTTACTGTACAAACAAACATTCTAAACTCTTGATTGTCTTATATATAGAGATAAATGAGCAGCTGCTACAGGTGTGGAATTTGGCTCGTCTTAGAGCCATGGTGATAAATATTCTTAGGTCCACAGCAGTAATGAGTAAGACATAACACAGGGCCAAAGGCTGCTGAAGATAGATGAGTTTGGCCAACGGGAGAGGATGCTAGACCTTGGGAAAGAAAAGAGAGGTCATAAAGTTTCATTGTCATCTGCTTCCATAGGTATTTCTTAGGCTGGGTGGAAATCTTAGAGGTAGAGGATTAGAAGGGAGAGATGTACATTAGTTATTAAATATGCTAGCTTTGTGTTTTTACAACCTGCTTCTATTGAAATTAAACATCCTTTCTGTATTAGTAATTACTTTATGAAAAATTTTATTAATTTTCTGCAAAAGGCATGCTAAAGTTAAGTTTTTAATGGTACTCTTTGTTAAGGGGCTTGAGATATAACTATATTGTAGTCAAAAATTTCATATTTGTGAGGTGCACAGAATTTAGTAGAACTTAATCTTCAGTTTTTCTCTAATTGATCTCAGTTTAATACATCTATAGTTCTTTTGCTTTTTTTTCCTTAAAGGATTGGAATATATTAAGTGTGACCACCAGCGAGCAATTCACTTGTTCATGGCAACTTTGGAAACAAACTGCATTTTTGTTTCATTTCCTTGTTCTTCATACAGAGATTACAAGGCTAGTTTATGTGTGGACTGTGGCAGCTTTAAGAAAAACTCATGTCCTAGGCTAGGTAAGAGGGATTGGTATAGTTACTGTAATTTCTTTTGAAAATGAATACCCAAATTGTTAATATTTTCTGTTGAATTTAAATCATAAAATCAATTATTTATGTTTATGTGTTAATTTGCTAAAATTTTATGGAAATGTATCTGTGGAGATGTGGTACTGTCAGAATAAATATTTTATTTACTACTAATTTTTTTTAATACACATGTGATTTTTATTGATTAAACAAACTTTGATTGCTTTCTTGATTAAGAAAAAGAAATGATATATTGAATTTATGAAACATCATAAAAGTTACTAGCCAATTATTAGATACATATGTTCCCCCCCAAAATCCAAAATACCTTGCTTGTATTCCTATAATATAAAAACTCTATGCATTTTATTAAGCAAACTCTATGCATTTTATTAAGCAAGTAGTCATGAATCCTACATAGTTCACACCTTCTAAATCAATAAAGCTTGATAAGAGCATTTAAGCATTGCAGCTTCTGAAATTTAAAGCCTTCCAGTGGAAAATTATAAAGCAAAAAGAATGTATATGAAAATAGAATATTAGAATTTCAGGGACTGTTCATTGTTTTCCAAAGAAAATACTAGAGCCTAGCATATAAATGTCCAGTCAGTATCAAGGAAAAATATTCCAGAAATGTTTCTAAAACCAAAAGAGCTCTAGTAGTGTTTACAAAGGCTGAATCCAATCATATGCAACCAGTTTTCTTTAGCAGGACTAAGGTATATGGAGAATCTCTAGGCAGGCAGGCATTATACCAAATTTTTATTATCCTAGTTCACATCTGCCCACATGACATCATGTGAGTTCATTTTCTGCAGAGTTCTTTTGGGATTGGTTTTTTGGTCTTATTGTTTTTTCATATTTGACCCAGATTGGTTAAGAGCATAAGTGGGGGCTGGGGTTGTGGTTCAATGGTAGAGCGCTCATCTAGCACATGCGAGGCCCTGTGTTCGATCCTCAGCACAACATAAAAATAAATAAAAAAAGATATTGTGTCCAACCAAAAAATAAATATTAAAAAAAGAGAGCATAAGTGGGAACTAAAGTTGAACTTGTGAAATCTCCATTAAGAATTCTTTCTACTTCATTCAAATCTCCAATGTTGGAGGTAGGAGTTGGGGAACAAAGAAGCATTTGAAATATGTATGTGTATATATTATTAATAAATATTTAAATTTTATAAATATGGAAATCTGTTATATATAATACACATTCTATGTGCATATGTGTACATTTATTAAATATATGTTATCTACTATGTGACTGTGTATAGATGCCCTTTATGCTATTTATATATTTATACTGTATATCATATATATACATGCATATCATATGTGTATGTATGTATGCATGTGTATATAGGAAAACTGAGGGCTATACCCAAAGAACTAAATTATATGTTCATTTACTACATTGTATTCTGCAGAACTTACTAAAGAGTTACAAGTAAAATTATGAATTCATATTATAGTAGTAAAACCTATTATAAATAGACTATAAGTCTTTCGACATGTTAAATTCTGATTAGACTTTTAGAGAGTGGATTTATTAATGAATCCTGAATTTGAATTATTATTGTAGTTGAAATAAGTAGAATACTACACTTTTTTTTTTAGTTGTCAGTCGACCTATTTATTTATTTATATGCAATGCTGAGGATCAAACCCAGGGCCTCACACATGCCAGGCAAGAACTGTACCACTGAGACCAGCTCCAGTTACCAATACCGCATCATTTGAAAAATATTTTTAAATTATTAAAATCTATGACTGTGATTATCGCAATGATTATGCTTATTAATTCTTTAGTTATACTTTAGTGATCTGAAATATGCATGTTATTTGATAGAAGTTCAATATCCAATGTTTTATTTCTTAAATCTCAGGTTATGAAGCTGAGCTATGGAAAATTGGCATGAAAGGAAGAGTGGAAGGATGGCCTCATAGGACCATTGTGTATTTGGATACTAGTAGTGCAAGTCCATTTTGTAGTAAGTTGTTAACATTTTTAACAAATGAAAAAAATATTATTTTTTTGTATTCCTTTTTTAAAAAAAATTTTTGTACCAAAGATTGAACTCAGGGGCATTAACCACTAAGCCATATCCCCAGTCCTTTTTTATATTTTATTTTGAGACAGGGTCTTCCTTAGTTGCTGAGGGCCTCCCTAAATTGCAGGGTCTGGCTTTGAATTTGAGATCCTTCTGCCTCAGCCTCCCAAGCTGCTGGGATTATAGGCATGTGCCACCGTGCCTGCTGTAGTCCTTTATATTTTATTGAAAATATGCTTTGCACTCTCCCAAATTCCATCACTTTAAAAAATTTGTTATAGTTGAACAAATTTGACTAAGGACTTTATTTTTTTAGATAAGTTGATCAGATGCTTGTATAATATTTTCCCAAAGAAATCATCCTAGCCTCCTTCAAATTCACATGATTTTTTTTTCCAGAAATCATTTCAGCATATAACATGTTAAGAAGCTTAAGACTTTTGTATATACTACTTATACCAAATTAAGACTTAAACTATATACATCTGAAAATGGCAAATGAATAATAATCTCCCTAATACATTTAGAGTTAAATGAGAGAAAATGTGTAGAACAGGAGAGAATGTTATGCTAGTTGTATTACATAACTAACATAAAGAGGACCTATGAAAGATAGCACAATTATTTTCTTAATTGTATGTCCTGTTATACTGAATTGAGTCTGTCCACTAATGAATTAAAATTTTTATTTATTAATTTTAGATTTGCAAATAGAAGAACTAATACAGAGCTACATACCTTTTATCCAATTTCCCTCCATGGTAACATTTTATAATACTATAGGTAATATAATTTTATTAGCAGTGTATTGATGTTTGTATAGTCCATCTACTTTATTCAGATCTTTTCCTAAATTGTGTGTGTGTGTGTGTGTGTGTGTGTGTGTATGTATAATCTGTATACAGATTAGTCACATATATATGGTATGTCTCTACCACAACAGTTAAAATACTGAGCAGTTCCTCACCACAAGGATCCCTTATGTTGTGCTTTTATAACCATATATGCTATTTCCCAGCTGTCTCTGACTTCTGACATCCATTAAAATATATTTCTACAATTTTGTCATTTCAAAAATGTTATATAAAAGGAATTATTTAGTATGTGATTTGGTTGTTGGCTCTTCTTCATGCAACATAACCTGAAAGGTCATTCATGTAACATGTATGAACAATTCATTCCTTTTCTTTAGTGAGTAGTATTCCAGAGTATGTATGCACTATAGTTTGACCTTTGAGCTATTAAAGAGCATAGAGGATGAATTTAGTTTTTGGCTATTACAAATAATGCTATTAAGAATTTTGTGTACAAATTTTTGTGTGAATATGTTTTCATTTTTGTCACAAAGGCTCAGGAGTGCAATTTTTGAATCATAAACTAATTGCTTGCTTAGGTTTATAAGAGACTGACAAGATGGCTATATCATTTTGTATTCCCCTGAGCAAACTATGCGTCATCTATTTTCTCTGATTCCTGTTTGGCTTTGTCATTATTTTTGAAATCTTACCGATTCTGATGAGTATATACTGACACCACATTTGACTTTAACTTGCGTTGCCTGATATGTGATTATATTGAATATCTCTTTATAAGTCCTTTTTAGGTGAAGTGTGTGCTCACGCCTTTTTGGCATTTTCCAATTGGATTATTTTTTAACTATTGAGTTTAAGATTTCTTTACATATTGTAGAAAGTAGTACTCATTAGTTATTTGGTCTAAAAATATTTTCTCAGGTTCTGCAACTCGTCCTCACAGTTTTCTACTGTTTCATGTTAGTTATACACGACATTAAGATTCATTTTTACATAATTAAAAAAAATGGAATGTAAGTTGCTTAAATTCTGTCCCCAGTATTTCCCCTTCCTCTTGCAGTTTCCTTTCCTCTACTCTATAGACTTTTCTGCTATTTATTTTTTAGGTTTCTTTTTGTTGTTGTTAGTGTTTTGTGGAGATACCTGATGGTGAGATTCATGGTGGTATATTCATATATATGCATAGGAAAGTTAGGTTCAATCCTTTATTCTTCATTTTTTCTGCCCCTTCTCCCTCCCCCATAGTCCCCTTCATATAGCTTATCCATCTTTCTTTTATTTGATGGAATCTCCCCACTGTCCCCCTCCCCTTTTTTTCTCTCTCATTTTTTCCTCCTTACTTGGGGCTTGATTTCACATATGAGGGAAAACATTGGGCCTTTCACTTTCTGAGTGTAGCTTATTTCTCATAGCATCATTGTTTCCAGTTCCATCCATTTACCAGCAAATGCCGTAATTTTATTCATTTTTATGGCTGAGTAAAACTCCATCATGTACGTGGACCACATTTTCTTTATCCGCTCATCTGTTGAAGCACACCTGGGTTGGTTCCATATTTCAGCTATTGTGAATTGTCCTTCTGTAAACATTCATGTGGTTGTGTCACTGTAGTATGCCGATTTTAGTTCTTTTGGATATGTGATGAGGGGTGGTGTAGCTGGATCATATGGTAAATCCATTCCTAGTTTTTTGAGAAATCTCCATACTGCTTTCCATACTTGTTGCACTAGTTTGCAGTCCCATCCACAATGCATGAGTGTACTTTTTCCTCTCATATCCTCACCAACACTTACTATCATTTGTATTCTTGATAATTGCTATTCTGACTAGAGTGAGATGAAGTCTCACCATGGTTTTGATTTGCATTTCCTTGATTGCTAGCGATGTTGAACATTTTAAAAATAGATTTGTTGGCTAATGGTATTTTTTCTTTTGTGAGGTGTGTGTTCAGTTCGTCTGCCTAATTATTAATTGGGTTATTTGTTTTTGGTGTCAAGTTTTTGAGTTCTTTATATATATTCTTAATATTAATATCCTACCAGAGGTGTGGGTGGACAAAGATCTTTATTGTGTAGGAATTCTTAATTCTTTCCTTTGCTGTATAGAAGCTTTTTAATTCGATGAGATCTTACTTATTGGTTTTTAAGTTTATTTCTTACATTTTAGGGGGTTTGCTAAGCAAGCAGTTCCTGTGCCAACATATTACAGTGTTGGGTCTATATTTTCTTTGAACAGTTGGAGAGTTTCAGACCTAATTCTGAGGTCTTTGATCCTCTTTGAATTAACTTATGTGTAGGGTGAGAGATAGAGGCTAAGCTTCATTCTTCTACATTCTTCTACATATAGGGTTCTAGTTTTCCCAGTTCCATTTGTTAAAAAGGATATCTTTTCTCCATTGTGTATTTTTAGCAACTTTCTTTAGTGTAAGATAACTGTATCTATATGGATTTGTCTCTGTCTTCTGTTCTGTTCCATTAATTTTCATGTCTGTCTGGGTTGTCAGTACCATGCTGTTTTGTTACTATAGCTCTCTTGTATATTTCAAAGTCTGGTATTGTGATGTCTCCAGCATAATTTTTTTTTTTCAGGATTGCTTTGGCTAGTCTACATCTCTTATTTTTCCAAATGGATTTTAGAATTGCTTTTTCTAATTCTGTGAAGAATATCATTGGCAATTAATTGAATCTATATATAATGCTTTTGGTTATGGCGATTTTAATAATATTGATTCTCCAGATCCAAGAACAAGATGTAAAGTGTTCCTTTACATCTCTTGCATTAGAAATTTTCATATTCTAAGGTCTTCTTCAGTTTCTTTTTTCAGTGTTCTATAGTTTGCACTGAAGAGATTCTTTACATCTTTTGTTAGATTCATTCCCATATATTTTATTTTATTTTCTGAGGTTAGAGTGAATGGGATAGTTTTCCCAATTTCTTTTTCAGTGGGTTTATTATTGGGTTTGTTATGTGTGTTGATCTTGTATCCTGCTGCTTTACTAAAACTTTTTATTAGCTCTAGAAGTCTTCTGGCTGTAACTTGTCTTTTCATCCTTTCCACAGTCATTTGCAGAGCAAAATGTTTACTCTGATAAGGAATGAATTCTATATTGATGCTTGATATAAACTTATATTCTGCTTTTGCTGTTTGGAATGTATATAGTGCTGTTATGTTTCCCTGAATATATTATATATCATATTTGCTGCTTTTATTTTTGCTTTATGTGTAAAAATTTATCTTACCCTCATGGACTATTTTATTAGATTATATTCACAGCAATAATTTACCTCACAGATTCTTTGAATCTTTTCTTTATATCTATCTTTAATATTTTTTATTCTGTGGTATTTTGCTTCCATTTATTTAATACTCAATATTAATTATAAATATCATTATTGCATTAACTATTCAATTTTATTTCCAAATTTATTTTTTCTATTTGTGTCTGGAGTTCTGATCCTGCATTTCTTCCTTTCAGTGTTGACTTCTTCCTGACATATACCCTATCAGTGACTTTTCACTAGTGGTCTCTACCTCTATTTTTTCCCCTTGAAAATATTCTTATCTTTTTCTCACTTAGAAATGAAAACATAGTTTGAGATAAGTTCTATATCAACATTTTTGTTCAGCTTATTGAAAATATTAATTCTCTTATGTTCATTCAAGCTTTTATTCCCCAGGTTTTATGAACCTAATTATTTCCTGAAGATAATCTGTCACTTTCCTCTTATTGTATTTATTAATTTATTTTGTTTTGGTGTTATTTTTCAATATTGATGCCTTCAAGTCTGGATTAATTGTTAATGAAAAATCTGTGCTCTTTTAAATCAGAAATTCATGTGTTTCATATATATAGAAAATGTTCAGCAGCCAGCTGTTTTTCAAAATTCTCAGAGCACATTGGACTCCTTTTTTTCTAGAACTATATCATTACAATCCTAGAGGACTCTTATGTAAATTGTTTGGGGTTCTTCATTAAATGACTTGTATTAATTTAAATTTCATGTTGTTATTATTTTCTTAACCTTAATACCTGCTGGGTTTGTACCTCGGTAGTACAATGCCTGTCTTGCCTTGGGTTCAATCCTTAGAACCTCAAAAAGAAGAAAAGAAATTATTTTTAAAAAGATTCATACAGGCACAGAACAAGGAGGAGTAATTTCCCCTTTGATCACTTCAATGATGAGGCAGGAAATTGAGGTTCCTGGATCTCTACAGGGACCTGCATTTCAGCTCTGTCACTTAGTACCAGGTCTCTTTTTCCTTTGTGGAGGTTGATACTTCAGCCTCACTTTCCTTCATTCACCCAGTTCTCAGATCCCAGGGCTTCAACCCTTATGGCTTTGAATATTTTTTCTTCATTTCTACTTTCTCCTTTTGGGTTTGATTTTGTATGAAAATATATATTGCTCACCTACCACTTCTACATACTTACAGTAGGATGGTGGCTTATTCTGTAACATTTTAATATACGGTGCTGCCAGAAATTACCTGAGCCAATTTATGGGTGAGGTGGGTGAAAATACTATGCCTGAAGCTGGGCATAAACTTCAGAATAAGAAGTGTTTCTTTATATCTCTTGCATTAGTAATTTACAAGATGCAGTCATAAATGCATTACTTTATTTGAGTTAATTCTAAGCACAATGAATGATGTTACTTCTGACTGTTTAGTGGAAACAATTACCAGGAGCATTTATAACTGTTGTATATCTCACAGGAAAATTTACAGATTTCACATTATGTTTGAATATGTATATTGTCTTCTAGGGAAGACTCAAGATAACTGGCAGAGTCAGGGCTTCCTGTGTAATCCTGAAACTGTTGAGAATAGGAGTGATTTCACTAGTTTTGCCTCTGGAAGGTATACCATACTAAATTTTCATGAGCGCAATTTTGAATAGGAGCTATAGTGAACTTACTCTACTGGAGTTATTTAATTTAATAGAATCATTTAATTTACTCTTTTCAGCTGCCAAAAAATTGGGGATGATGGTAGTCAAGCAGATGTAGCTTGGACTATTAATCAGATAATTAAGAAACCTTATTGTATTTACCTTAGATATCTTATTGAAAAGTACAAATTGTTTAATTGGCCCAAATTTTGAATGTTGTTTATTTTCTGATTTGCAGATTAATTAGAATTTATTAGGTATTTGGCCAAATCCTAACCACAATCATGACTAGGTTCTTAAATTCTTTGTTTTTAAGACTTATCAAAAGTTGACAAACAAGTCAGGTGCAGTAGTACACACCTTAAATCCCAGCAGCTCAATAGGATAAGACAGGAGGATTTTGAGTTCAAAGCCAGAGTTGGCAATGACAAGGCTCTAAGGAATTCATTGAGAGACTCTGGCTCTAAACAAAATACAAAATAGGACTAGGGATGTGACTCAGTGGTTGAGTGCCTCTGAGTTCAATTCCTGGTATTCCCTCCCTCAAAGAAAAAAAAAAAAGCTGACAAACAAGCAAAATATATTACTTAAGGACAAAAAGAGAGCTTCTAATGAATAACATTTAACATATATAATATAGGACTAAATTAAATAATATGTATCTCTTTGTATTTGTATATGTACCAAAATTAAAGTTTAAAAAATAATGTGAATGGCCTTTTATATTTTTATTTCGTAGCTTATTATTTTGTTCTCAGTATAGTTGCTGTGGGTGAAGCTATGAGTGATGGCTATATTTCATTTAGATTATTGAACCAACTTGGAACCATTGAAAATCCAAGGCTCTATGAGTAAGTACCATTTCATGTTTTCTTCTTTCATACAGTAAATGTTTGCTATCGTGAGTATCCAGTTTAGAAGATAGTCCAAACAGAGTAAATTTCTATCCAAAGAGTATTAAAATGTTAGATTTTACAAGGATCCATGTGTCACCTTTGGATTCTTTCATTTTAAAGAGGAAAATATTGAATATGAGGCCGAATAGCTAATTAATATTATAGAACTGGTTGCTACCTCAGTTACAAGAGTACAAGAAGAAATGTTTTCTCTCTGTCTTTTCATTCTTTTCTTAAAATTTGGATGTGGGCATGATACCTTATTTATTTTTACGTAGTGCTGAGAATTGAACCCAGTGCCTCACACGTGCTAAGCAAGTACTCTACTGCTGAGCTATGACTTCAGCCTCATCTTTCCATTCTTAATTCCAGTATTTTTCCTAACAATCTTGCTTTCCCAATTTCTCCAGTTTTCATGGAACATCATGTTCACAGTGGTGAAAGTGAAGGTCCAGTGGCATCAGTTAATAACTAAGTGATGCCATTTTAGTATTTCAGAAAACCATGCTCAGCCACAAAGTTCCTAAATAATAGGAGAGAGATGTTTTTCCTTAATCTTCTATTTAGCTTCTTATGCATGTGCATAATGTTATCTAATCATCTCAAAGCCAACTATCATGTGGGTTTCTTGAATGCCTGTGTGTTTAATAAATTCTTAAAGTAGGAAATTTATTTTCTCTCATAAGTATGACAAATAGGTATGTGTTACAGTTGAAATTATGACTTCCAATATAGTGTGTTGGACTTCTAGAAAGCCATTAAATAACAGAGTTGCTTTCAAAAGACTCACAGTTACCATATCAGGTGATTAAATAAAAGATAAATTTTATTTTGCTATGACTGCACATATAATAGTTTGGTTTAACTTTTGAATGGCTATTGATGATATTGGAGTTTCAGGAGGTTTAGTTGGTATCTCAAACATTTGCTCCTGTCACATTTTAGGTAGTCCTAGTACCTGAATTGGCAAATTGATTAAATCTAATGTGTGAGGGACCTTGGACCTGAGTATACAGTGACATATAGATTTATTCAGCCATTAACTATGAACTAGGAAAAAGTTCCTGCCTATTTTATTTGCACAACAATAGCAGTGTCTTTAATATTATAGTATTATTAACATTTAATTAAAATAAGAATAACATTAAAATATAAAAGGAGACACACTTTATAACTGATACAGTGTTTAAGACAAAATATTTTAGACCATGCACTACACAAAGAAAATGATTTTAAAAAAGTTCATGTTGATAAAGATCACTGAAAACTTCTGTACTAAAGTAAAATAAAGACCTTCCAACCTAGAAAACAATGATCATCCTCAGGAATAATATTCTTGGTTGAGAGTCAGGCAATTTTTAAAAACTTTTGAGAAAAATGCATTTTTTAATATTAAAAACTCTAACATTAATTTTCTAAAGTTAGTAAAAGCATTGCAGATAATTTAATGGTAAAATGAATGTAGTAGGGCTGGGGATGTGGCTCAAGCGGTAGCGCGCTTGCCTGGCATGTTCGGGGCACTGGGTTCGAGCCTCAGCACCACATACTAATAAAATAAAGATGTTGTGTCCACTGAAAACTAAAAACTAAAAATTAAAAAATTCTCTCTTTAGAAAAAAATAAATGTAATAATAATGCAAGAGTGCCAATTATTCTTGTTCTTTTCCTTTTTTAAACCTTCCTTTAGTCACTTAGAAAAGATGATAAAAGAAATCATATTAAAATTTCAATCCAGATTTTTTTTACTTTTATCAAGCACCCGTCTTTTATTATAAAAAGCTTTAAAGCGTTATTTATCTAATTTTGAACATTGGTCAAATGTGTTGTCATTGTATATATTATTGCAAAATAGTTGACTACTTTTTGTAACATTGTATGTAATTCTAATTTGAGTATGTATATTTATGCACATTCATATAGTCAATTATTTAGTCTTATCAGAAATATGCTTTTTTAGCTTTTGTATGAATTTACTTATCTAACACATTATTCATCACAAATCTTATTCAGACATTTTACAGAGTACTAGAACTCAAACTGAAATAGTTTTATTGTTCACAAGGAAGGCACAGAATACTGGAAGACTAAGCCATAATTGCATCTCTGAGTAATCAGTTTTATGATAGAATATCACTAAATTACTGTTAAAGCACAGAGGAGAAGCAAGGGAGCATTTGAAAATAAGGTGATGGACTCCAAAAACAGGGATAAGTTATTTTCAAACATAGGGAGATGGGAAAACACATAATTTAAGAATAGTGCACAGAGTAGAGTTCTCAAGCAGTTGCTTTGAATTTTTCTGGAAAGCAAACTTATGTCCTGATTTATTTTGCAAACATATGGAACACCATGGAGAAATGTAAAATATGGGAACATTCCATGGTAAAATCTGCCCATCTAACCCTGGGTAATGGCTTTATTGTTTATATATTAATTATTTTGGGGATTTGAACTATATTTTAGATGCTCTGGGAGTCAGAGAATGTTAATGATCTTTTATTTGCCTTTCCAAAATTGAAACAGGAATATTTCCTCACTGTAGAAAATGTGTCATTTTATAGACTAGAGAATGAGAATTGCCTATAATTGTATCACCCAAGAATATTCACACTTAACCATTTTTTTAAAAAAATAATCATTCCACCCCTTCTTTCTCCTCTTTTTCCCCTTTCTTGTTCTTTTCCTTCTCTGTCCTCTTCTGAGCCTCTTTTTTGGTGGTTGTTATTTTTGCACATGACCCTGTGGATATATTTTTTTATTTAGCAAAATGTGTATCTTACTGAAAATGTGGTCTTCATCCTGATTGTTATACTTAGTGATATAGTGTGGACACATTTCCTTTGTAACTAAAAATCACTTAGATCTTGTGAGACCAAAAGTATGAATATGCCAATGCAGGACTTTAAACAGGAAATACCAGTATTATAAGTTCAGATTGTAACAATTCCCTAGATGAATGAGCAGTAGGTAGATTAGAGGGAATGAGATTGGTGCCAAGAGTCCACAGATAGAGCTACTGCCATATTCCTATAAAAGATGAAGGGGCGTGGATCAAGCCAGTGGGCATGAAAAAGAAGTGTGAGACTCTAGAGGTTTTAAGGCTTACAAATAGTTATGTGGTATGTTTTTATGATAAATGAACGTGAAAATCAAAAAAAGAAATCAATCTAGAGTAACTTCATGTGTGGAGCTTGGTGGCTATTTAAAAAGTATAGACTATTACATAGTAAGGTGAGACTTATTTTAGGGGATGATCCAATTTAATCATTAAATTAAAAAATGTTGAGAGTTTTCATAGCCCAGGAACAATGCTAGGATGGGAAAGAAACTCTTCGACAAATTGGATCTCTGCCCTTATATGATTTCAGCATATAGGTTTTAAATTAATGATAGAAGGAATACAAGTATGTACATCATCCCTATTTTCAAACAACTTTATGTACATTGAGTCAGGCCCTTTGCTAAGTGTTTAGAATATTGCAATGAGCAAAATAGACTTGGTCCTCTCCTCATTAAGCTTGCAGCATAGTGAGGAATAGAAGGGTAGACAAATTATAAATAAGTTAAAAGTAAAATCTGTCCAGGAAAAATATCTTGAGACAAATTTGTACTTAAGTGTGGAAACTTAAAGTAGGGAATATGAATTAGTGGGGTCATTAAAACATTTTTGTGGGTATTTTTCATTAGTTGTGATCTAAATGATCAATGGGTCACTGCCCTGCTGCATTCTAGGCTGGGGATCCACAAATGCAAAGAACTGATGCAGAAAGCAGCACAAGCCACTCTGGGACCTGACAGGAGCTCTGTGTTTCAGAATAGGGGCAGAACAAATGAGAGGGGCGGGGAAGGAGAAAGATGAGATAGAGATCTCCCATATATCGTAGGAACAAGAATTCATAGGCCATGCTCCAGAATTTGTAATAAATTCACTGGACAAATGAAAATCACTGAAATGTTTTCATTGGGAAGTTTGACTGGGGCCAAGACTGTATTTTTATTTTGGAAAAACAATAGACCACAATGGTTAGAGAGGAAATTGGAGAGGGGATTGAGTGCTATTGCAATTATATATATAGGCAAGATACAATGGTCTCCTTGGTAAGAGGATTTGCAACGGAGATAGAAAAATGAGATTGGATTCAAAGATTCAAGATATTTTTTAGGTAAGATTCATAATAAGAATTTATGATAGACTAGATGTGGGGATTGACTGGAGAGTGGTATTAGTGATGAATCCTGATTTTTTTGGATAAGGCAATAGAGGGTAGTATGAATTTACTTATCCAACACATTAATTTACTTATCCAACACCATAAAGATAATAATGCCCTTTAATATCATTAGGAAATTTATGTTTTTGTTTAGATTTTTATTTTCTTTTTGTGGTCAGGGGAAGGTGTTGGGGAAGATAATTCGTTTAGACTTGAAACTTCTAAGCTTTAGGCATCCTTGTGATATTCAAATGACAAAGTGAATACTGGTGGATATATGTTTCTGGACTCTCAATTTGAGGTAGCTACTTGGTGATCATGAGCAACCTGTTGGCATTTAAAACCACTGGGGTGAATGCAAATTGGTGGGAAAGGTAACGTGTTCTTATATAGACATGTTGAATTTGAAGTATTGAAATCCAGATAACTTCTTGGAAAAACATTAGGGAGATATCCAGTGACATATTCTGTGAAAGAGGAGGAGGTGGCTCTGCTGGGAGGGAGCTGGGATAAACCTTAAGGATAATAATGGCATCCTTCTTTGGGCCTAGCTGTTGTGAAGGAATAAAACAGGAGGGCAATAAAAAATAAGATATGTTAGAAAATGTTTGTTCTTCAGTGTTTCTGTATGAGATTTTCACCTTGGTTTAAGCAAGTCTTTCTTCTCTCAAAAGAGAAGCTTCTTTCAATAAGACTTTCTTTCTTTCCCTCTCTCTTTCTTTCCTTCTTTCTTTCTTCCTTCCTTCCTTCCTTCCTTCCTTCCTTCCTTCCTTCCTTCCTTCCTTCCTTCCTTCCTTCCTTCCTTCCTTCCTTCCTTCC